CAAAAAGGTTATGGGTTCAATTCCCAGTAGGGGCACAAACATAGGTTGGGAGTTCAATCTCAGATTGCAGCATGTATGGGAGTATCAGTTTTCTTTCTCTCGCTCTTTCTTTCTTTCTTTCTTTCTTTTTCTTTCTTTTGTTCTTTCTTCCTTCCTTCCTTCCTTCCTTTCATTTCTTCTTTCTTTCTCTCTCTCTCTTTTCCCCTCCTCCCTTCCTTTCTCTCTAAAAATCAATAAAAATGTATCTTCAGGTAAGGATTAAAAGAATGTTTTTTTTTAGCTTACATAAACATAACCTTAAATTACATAAAAGAAACCTGGACAGAAATACAACAAGAATCAGCAATTATGTTGAACTTTTCTTGGTAACTGATAGCATAAGCAGATCAAAAGTCACTATGGCCCTAACTGGTTTGGCTCAGTGGATAGAGCATTGGCCTGTGGACTGAAAGGTCCCAGGTTTGATTCTGGTCAAGGGCATGTACCTTGGTTGCAGGCACATTTCCAGTAGGAGGTGTGCAGGAGGCAGATGATCGATGTTTCTCTCTCATCGATGTTTCTAACTCTCTATCCCTCTCCCTTCCTCTCTGTAAAAAAATCAATAAAATATATATTTTTTAAAAAGTCACTATGAACATAGAAGATTTAAATGATGTGATTAACAAATTTGATTTAATGGTCATATGTAAGATCATACACAGCTACACATTATTTTTACACAAACTGACCATATTCTAGACCAAAATGTAAGTCTCAAAACTTTTTCAAATTATTGAAATTATGTAGATTATATTATTTGACCACAATGCAACCCAACTGGAAATCACTAATAAAATGAGAATTATACTGTCCCTATGTGTTAGAAATTAAGGATATACTTCTAAATTACCTTAGCTTGAAGAAGAAATTATAAAGGAAATTAGAAAATATTTAGAAGTAAATAATAAGTAAAACTTTCACTATCTAAACTTACCAAATGCAGTTTAAACAGTACTTAGAGGGAAAGTTATATCTACCTTATTTATATTAGAAAAGCCAAAAATTAATGAAATAAGCATCACAAGAAGTCTGAAATATACATATATTAGAGGCCTGTTGCATGAAGAGATTTGTGCAGTAGGCCTTCCCTTCTCCTGGCTGCCGACACCAGTTTTCCTCCAGCACCCGGGACCCAGGCCTTCGCTCCTGCCGGAACCGCCTTCCGTCCTCCATCTTCGCGGCTCCGGCTCACCTTCAGTCTTCACTCCACCGCTTGGAGCCTACGTATGCAAATTAACCGCCATCTTTGTTGGCAGTTAATTTGCGTATCGAACTGATTAGCCAATGGGAGGCGTAGCGAAGGTACAGTCAATTACCCTGTTTGTCTATTATTAGATAGGATATATATATATA